GCAAACCAGTCACTGTTCTTAGCTAGTTGACTTGGAACACTACTTTGTCGTCAAAATCACTCAGGTTAATGACAGCTTACGTCCTACAACCTTTATTTCACGCGCTTTTCTTGAAAATGCGCCGGGTTGCTGCCTTTATTTCGAATTTCGAGTTCACTAAATGAAAGCCATTCTTTGATCGAAATCACTGATTATAAGTTCTAAACTTGACACGACTGACATACTCAAAACTTTGCCAGGAAAAAGCAATTTATCAATCAGCAAGATTTTTGGTATAAGGCCGTGAAGTAGGCTGTCCAGGGCGTAATCTACTATGGCCTAGCTGATCGTGTGGGGAGACGGGCAGAGATCGTCATTTGCTCGCGCCGCGCGCGGCGATCGGCGCGGCGTTTTCTTAACTCGTGTTAACCTGTCGACTGGAGCACCGGACTTCATGTAGACCCCGTCATCATAGACATTCATGACTATTTTCGGTTCTGAACTGCCTGTTGTCGCCATCTACGACCTGGAACCATCGTCATTTGCGGGCGCGACGTCGCACGCGACGCTCATCAGCGCGGCGAATTACGATCCTCTTGTCACAAGTGCCAGCTTGCCTCACCTGTGCCTCATGTGGAGATGAAGTGGCGTGTGTGACAAGACAATCGTAACGGGCCGCGCTGGGGGCGTGGCGAGCAACGCCGCACCCAGCGGGTGAGTTGTCCGCCTAGCCGTCTTGAGCCAGGAGTGCCCAGTGCGGAAGCGAGAATTTGATTATGGCCCGTCACGGCGTTGTCTTTAAACGAGTTCCGCTGCTCCCAATCGACAGAAACCGAGGGTATGCCGTGCGTAGCCGCACGATACGCCGCGTGCGGCAAATTCCAGTGGCCTCTCCGTCTTCCGACGAAATGTGCCAGCTGTTCCGTACCAGTAACACAGGTGCGAACGTGTTGCGATTATTCCATGTAGGACCGACCTATGATCCCTCTCGTCTTTCCTTCTTAGCGGGTCTACGGACAGCTAAAACTCAATCCCTTTAATGGCGCCAACTTTCTTTTTTCTCTGCGCTCTCTTGCCTGAATGGCGATTTATGGCCACTTTGACCTTTCACATTCCAACTTTTCACGCATACTAAGTGGCTCATCCACCCCGGTGTCCCCTCCCTTCGAAAAAGCTCATCTCCTGGCTCGCATAATGTTTTTTACCTCACGATGCCTTAGCTGTAGCAGTCCCTTATTGCTCTGCGCTCTGGCCTATCGTGGCAGGACCCCCACCAAAAGTTTTAGTTGTCACGTAACCGTTTCCTCCCTTCGTCTCTCTTCACCCCTTCCCTTCCTTATCCCTTCAAATTCGACCAGTGATGCGGATGAGTATCGATTAGAAGGAACTGGGATGAGGGAAAGAGGAAATTCCCCTGGACCTTTCCAGGGAGAGAATATTTGGTTGACAGAATCCCTGTAACCCTCGTCTTTCAGCTCATCATCCTATACTCTGGTACTTTGCCTGAACGCGCAACAGTTTTCTGCGGGATACTCTTCCAGTGCTTCTGGGCCTTATTTAGGGGCGTCTTTGAAGCTTTGTCTGCTTCCTTTTTTCACTAGTGAATCACTTAAGTAGCATTCAAGTATTCATGTTGGTACCTAAATTACGAAATGTAGTCGCGACGTCGGGTGCAGCTGTTCACGGTTCATTCTTCTCGTGGTAGGACCACCACAGAAAGTTCAAGTGGTCATAAGAGAGGACAATTTCGCCCTCGATTTGTTCGAGTTGTCCGTCGATGACGTGACTTTCCCAGTTCCTTCTAATCAATACTCATCCGTTTGCTTCAGGATCTGCCGATCAATATTTATCCTTGTCGTGCTCGTTACGCGCAGTCCGCTTTCCATGTTCTATAAGGACTGTTTCAACAGGATCTCTTATTCCTTTCCTATTTTCTTTTCTTTCCTTTTTCTCTTATCTCATTTTCTTTTGTTTCGTTTCTTTTTTGGGACAATCGGTAGACCTGTATTCGCTTAAGATCCATTTATAATTCACCCTGACCCTACACGACTGGTAGAATTTTGTACTTTCTACCAGTCGTGTAGGGTCAGGGTGACCTAGCGCCAGGTGGAAACAGCTACTCCCATTTAGTTCCTTTAAGGGTTGCTAATAATTCTGATCCAGGTTGAGTAGACCGCGTGCTGAACCACGGATCGATTTCGTTCTCAAGGTTTGCTTGACCCTTAGCCCGGCTCAGCCTTTATATTCATTTTGTTGTTTTCTCTGAGGCCAATGTTGTTGAGAAGAGGGCACGCCCACGTCACCTCTACTTGTCTCGCTCTCTCTCCAACAGGAAAGTGGCATACATACTCTAGTTCGCTGCGGTTGAAGGGGCGTGTCAGGCAGTATGACTATGCCACGGCGCCAAACTCCATCTCACCTGGCACGCCCCTTCATCCGCAGCGAATTACATTGAACTTGGCGCGCGTTCACCCTAACTACATTAGCGCGCCAAGTCCTCTTTCCTGTACCACTTCCCACCTAATCTTGGCGAAACATCTCATGTAGTTAAATTTTCCTTAGTTTTTTTTCCCAAGAGAGCAGGCTTTGGCGTGGCGCCAGTTTTTCAATAACCGCAAGTTCATTCAAGCTTTACGCATTTCTTTTGTCATTCCTGAACGTTCCTACGTTATTAATGAAGCAATCCATTAGCTTTCAGCGCAATGCTATTCATTTTTTTGCGGAGTGCTCAACATTAACAATAACGCAATTACTTAATTTCCAGATTCACAATGCTATTCATATTTCTTCGAATAGCCCTCCTTCAGAGTGTTGTCTTATCGACAACGGACTTCTCCTTTAATCGGCTATTAAAAACGAATCAATATATAATCATATCACAGCAATTATGTCAGACAAAGTTTGAGTCTCATGTGAATGATCCAAAGCTGTCCAAGGGCACTCATTCCTATATCTAGGTACGTCAATCGTTTTTATTTTTCATTTTTTCTTGGGTTTTTTCTTTTTTTTCTTTCACATTTCTCTTGGATAAGGGCTGAGAGCAGCCGACAAGGACATCTGATTTAGACTATCGTTGAACTCTATTTTTATCTGTGTAAAAAAAACTGGTAACGACTGATGAACTGATATGAGCTAACGGATAGGTACAGCATTGTGCGCTGCTGATGTTGGGGCGTGTCATGGGGCGCGTTTGGGGCGGAGCAAGCGCATTTCTCACCAGTCGTAAGACTGGTGCCGTGCCACACCCTGCCCACATGACACGCCCCAACATTCGCAGCGAAATGGACTCTACATGAATAGGTATTGGAAAGATGAAGCTTGAAACATGGTCCCTTTGCTACAGCGAGGTCACGTTCTCCAGCTTGAATCTTTTAGACTCATAATAGCATCGCTGTCCATTTGCAGGGCTCCTGAATAAGTAGACTCTCGTTCTATGCGAACGATGGAGCATGTCATCGCAGCTATAATACGTTTGGCGCTGCGCCATCCCGTTTCTTCGTTTTTCATTTCAACAGACGACAAGACTACCATAGAGTTACTCGTTCTTCCCAGTTATTGTCACATATTCCTCTTTGGCAACCGGTGGCAACGTGCTGGCAGCACGCCAAGTGCGGCCGCGCTGTCACGCCCCATCATCCGCTGCGAACGAGATTCTAGGAGCAGCAGACGTGCCGTTGCTATTTTGAATGCTCATTTCATGCTCATTTTGATTGCTCTTGAACGACTGCACATGGTTGCAGCCCTTCCTCCTCGCTGATCTTCAAGAACATCTTTTATTGTTTTGAATGTGTAATATTGTGGGGAAAACTGCATATTGTGGTTTCAGCGCACAACAGAAATCTGTTTCTGTGTGTATCTATCCCATTCGTATCCACCTAATTCGGGACCCGGAGAAAAGGCGGCCACCACGAGCTCTTTATGTTGGGCGCCATAAGAGCGGGCAAACAATTGCATTTGTCGAGGATATAGCAGTGAGTTTTTTTTTCGTTGTTACCAGGGAAGTCCGCCAACTTACCATGGAACTTTGAATAGACCTGGGTAGATCGATAGAGTCTATAAGGTTATTACAAATATAGATAGCAAAACTGCAACCTGCATTTCACAAGCAACTTATGAGCAGGTAAAGTTTGTAATGGTGCAGTAGGGTGGGGCTTGGTGGTGAGCTGTGAAGCATGCGAGGAATGGCATACGCTGAATCGAGTCGTCAGACGTCGAACTTTACCACTGAACCACCACTACTCGATGCCACGTATGTGATTCCTCACTTATGCTTCACAGCTCAAGCCTCCACCCTACTGCACCATTACAAACTTTACCTGCTCATAAGTTGCTTGTGAAATGCAGGTTGCAGTTTTGCTATCTATATTTGTAAATAACCTTATAGACTCTATCGATCTACCCAGGTCTCCATTCAAAGTTCCATGGTAATTGGTGGACTTCCATGGTTTCTGCCCCGCAGATATGGCTTGAAATTTTCTTCAGGCTCCTCGTCTACCTTCCTTCGACCGTACCTCAAATATCTATTCTCGACTGATCGACTTTGGTAACCGACCGCACAAGTATATGAACCAGTACAACACGGTGTGTTTCCCGTATTGCCTCTTTTGATAGTAGTGGTAGCTGTGTCTCAGCAGTGCTTCAGTCCACAAAGTTCTTTTCGGTACTATTCAGCTATTACTACCCCGAGAATCAAAAATTTTTTTGCGGAAACTCTGTCCACGGGGATGATTCGTTGTCCTGATCAGGATATAGAACTTATTCCGTAGGCGACAAAATGGTGCCGCCACCTTTCTCACCAAATTTGATGTAAATTTGCATAGTAGGGTTACTTGATGTCCTGATCACGAATACCGCATTAGTTTTCAGCCCTGGCGCCATTTGGCGCCATTAGGCGCTGATTTGGCGCCACACCCTTTTTCATCGAAATCGATAAAAACCTGCATAATATGGTTGCTTTGATGCCTTGATCACTAATATGTTATTTATTTTTTCACACCAAAGGCTGAAGGGCTCTTCTCTTCTGAGCTCAAAATGCTGACGCAAAGTATGGACACCGCCTTAGGATTTTACGCTATTTCATCTTATTAGCACATATATAGATGCAGACGGTTTCAAAACCGAGCTACACGAAAAAAGTTTAAAGGGATCGTTTCTTCCAGGATTTCACGTTATACGACCATGTATATCAGCTACTTTACCTGGTCAACCATGATTCTCGTGGAATGCAGCATTGTGCCGTTCTGCGGCTATCAAATCTCTTCCCTGGTAAGTTGTTTTTCAATGTTCAAAGCTGCTGAGCAGTATGCTCAATTTAAGCTGTTACTAACGCTCACTTTTGTCGAAATTCCTGCAATTGCACTCTCTCTTTACATACTAAGATAAATGTTCAGGTAGTTCTGAGTCAAAAACCTTAACAACAAGTCTCATCCATGATTTCGTGATACACGATGCAAATAAGGCACGTAATGGTTGGATAGAAGACCCATACAGTCACGAAGTAAGTTAAGAACGCTTTCCAGCGCTCCTCCTTCATGCGCTGCTCTATTCGAAGTTCGATTTTCAAGTTAAACTGTAATTAGCCCAGTAAGGGTGCAGTGCGGCGGCTCTTCGTTGCGCCAACGTGGTGAAAGCAGCAGAAGTGATGCGAGGCGCACTGTTCCGCACTAGGGGCCATTCTCTGCCTTAGTTTAGGCGTCTCATCAATAGGGGGGGGGGGGTACGGATTGTCCGGGCAGCAACAGCCGGGCTGCACTAAGTGACGCGACAGCGGCTGCGGCTCGGTGACGGCGAATCAGTTGATTTCCATGGAATTTGGTTGCGAATTCCCTCGAAAGTGGAAGGTGAGTTACTATGAACAGTTAAATTGTACTGACTCTGAATGAATGCTGAGGATTAAGCATTAACGAAAATGCCTGAAATAAGGCAAAATACAAGGCAAAGGGCATAGTAATTGACATAAAAAGGAAATCAGAGCTCAAAATTGTTTAAAATAACTCACTTCCTACTTTCGAAAGCTTGAAGACCTGAAAAAGTGGGAAATTGCAGCCAAATTTCATCGAAATCAGCTGAATCCCCGTCACCGAGCCGCAGCCGCTGTCGCGTCACAGTGCGGCCGGCGGTCTATGGTGGCCCCGACGTCCGTAATGATGAGGACTTGTTATGTGCGTCGCCACAACAAGGGCCACTCTATTACGCGCGTCGTAGAGGTTTTCGGGGGCATTTCGTAAGCATTATCTTTTTTGATTGGTGTCGTATCATGGGATGCGATTTCTGGTCTATATAAAACCATAGTTTTAGTGGGAAAAAAGAGTACAGTACTCCAAAAATGCGCATGGAGATTGAATGGCTCGGCCCGTGCCCAGCAGAACAATGCGTGGTATAGCAAGGACAGCGGTTTAGTTGGCGCAAGGAACATACGGAATGGGGGCAGGAAGCGAGAGCGACTTTCATTTCGCTCTCTGTCTGTAGCCAGGTGCTTCGTATGCGAGATGAGTGCAGTGTCGCGCTCCTACGCACTAAATTTCATGTGCAGGTGCAGTTTGGAATACTGTATCTCGCCTGTTTTTCTAAACATACAATTTGATTTTTTTGATCGCTTCACGAAGTTATGGCGTAACATATACATTTTTTGAAGTACAAGCCGCACGCATTCGCATGATCGCGTAGACGGCGACAGCGAGCGGCCAGGGTCGCTAGAAAGAACAACACCCTATAGTCTCTCTACGAATCCTATTGTTAATAGGTACTCATCTCTTTTTGTTCGATAAAAGCTCATTCACGTAGACAAGAAGCTGTCAAGGTGTAGGCAGAAGGAGAGCAAAAAATTAGGCAGCTATTTAAGCCAGCTTTACTGCCCCAGTCATCGGAATCAGGCGCAGTTCCTGGGACCGACTTTTCCGCTCGTGGGCGGAATTCCGCTGTAAACTTGGTTCGCGGGGGTAGTTGGACTCGGGCTGAACTACGAATTTATTGCAAGTCCGCTTGATACCGGAAACCTCGCTGGCGCAGGGCGATGAGCACGGGCGGCGCGTGCTGCTCAAATACTCGAAATCACCAAATTCGCTGAAAACTTGCTCCCAGGGGTAGTTTGACCCCCTGAACACGAATATCACATCCGCTCAACCCGAAACCTCCTGGCGCCCGCACCACGGGCACCGGCGCCAAAATACCCCAAATCATTAGCGCCTGTGGCGCGGCGGCGGAGAAGTTTTAGGTGCTTCAGGCGAATGTGATATTCGTATTCTGGAGGTCAAACTACCCCAGGAGACAACATTTGAGCAAAATCTGCCCACGGAGAAAAAAGTCGGTCAGGAGCTGGCCTGATTTCGGATGACTGGGGCAGTAAAGGGTAAATAGTGCCAAAAAGTTATTATCTGCGAGGCGCGCTCTATAGACGAGTGTGCCTTTTATCCCAGAAGGTGCCTTATATCGCCAGAGTCACTAATCCATCTAGGTGTATTATACCACCAATGAGGAAGGAAACACTTACATACACGCTCTACCGATGAACCGCATACTGTCAGCATTTAAAGAAAGGAGCGGCTGGCAGAGAAAATCTATATGTACAGTTAATCGATCGGCATCTTGCGCTGAGGTACTTTTTTTGCTCTCAGTTTTTCCTATGCTTTCGGACTTACTGGTTTGTTTGAGAAGTTTTCTTCTACAATGCTGATTCTTGTTGTTGTTACAGTGTGTTTGGTGGTTGTGTATGATAACTGCAGCATTCACAAGGGACCATACGCATATTTTACATGGCGGTTAACGTCTTTTGGCTAATTCTGCTGAAAGAGGTTTTGATGTTACGCGAGTGCAGGGTGGGTGGCCGGAAGGTTCAGGCGACATCTTTCGTTGCAATTCCAAAGACGTCTAAATTTTCCTAGCTGCTTGTCTGCGTCCTGCTCGTCGGCACGAATGACGTTTCTTTAATAGTGTGATTGACAAGTTCTTTTTTAACTATTGAGCAAGTTTGCCTTGGGGCTATAGCCCTTTCCTTTGTGCTCTACATATCCGCCCCCCGCGGCAGTTTCATGTAGAAAAAGAGGAGTTTCTGAGGAAAAACTCCTCAGAAAGTGACAGGACGCTGTAGAAATTCAGGTGGTAGGTGGAATGGGGTAAAGGAAGGGAGTCGCCCCAGAGGAGAAAGTTTCGGGAAGATCCTTATTTTGCAAAAATTTTCCTCAACGGTAGGACGTGCCTTGACAAGACCGTGGACAAGAGGGCAAGTAGCTGCGTAACCGGCACACGCCTGCGCGACTAAGCGTGATCGCTTCTCCTGATGGGTGCTAAGTTCACAACCGGACAGGTCCGCTATTCCCGCGTAGTCCGACGCATGATTTCGTTAACTCTTATAATGATCGTTTCATTTCTATAGAATATACTTGGTTTTGTAGTTTTTGGTCAGTTGGCAATTAACTTTTTCTTGCACGTTTCCAGCTACCAATTCAAGTAAAAACGTAGCTGGTATATCGTGTGGTTTTGCTCATGATCGTGGGAATGATGGGAATTCTAGTAATCCTTACATTATGATCGTTCGGTGAGTTCAAATAAAATATTTGTGGTGAGTTCTGTTTGAGTTGTAAAGCACCTTCAATCCTGTACAGGGACTGGGACTACTGTCAAATACGAGATGGACCACTGGCAGATCCTAGAACATGTTTACAGGATCGAGAGCAATGGATGCTGAAAGAAGGATTGGTAATCGTTTTGCTTGAGTTCCCCTGCTTGAATAGTTAGCACGGTGGCGCATGGCAGTTCTCCAAATTTGGCGCCGTTTGCAGAATAGCTTTCATTTTGACATGGGTCCCTTGTCTTCATTATTTTCGCATTTATTGCGAAATCGAATTCACGCGGATTTGCTCTTGGCGCTGCTGTGTGTGTGGTGTGGTGAGGTGGTGGCGGTGACATTTTAATTTTGGTGGTTCTGAGCTTTCTTTACACTGCTCGGTAGTATGAGTTTGGCGAGCCGCCAAACCGTTCTCCCCCAGTCTTTGAAGAGGTCGTGCCCCATCATTCGCGGCACTTTTCATTAATTATTGGCTGTTAAAATAGTTCGGAAAAGGCTTTAAAGGGTATCAACCATACTGTTATCACGCCCCAGCTCGTTGTAAATAGAAACGCTTTTCCCACCTGCTTTGAACTCTGATACTCTTGATTTCGTGCAACAATAGGGTCTGCTAAATTTTACTCGAAAATCTTTGGAAAATTTGTTTCTTGATTGATAATTGCTGAAAATTTTGCAAGTTTTCAAAAGTCTTCAAGCTCTATTAGAAGAAAATGCGGTGAAAGAGTGCAAAGAACTCATCGGAAGTAATTGTAGCTCCTTCTACTACTAGTGCTGTACATTTGCTGGCTAAGGCGTAGCCTGGACGATACCTTTGAGGAAGTGGTGAGTCCATTTGTTTTTTTCGCAGTTTGCACATTATTTTATTTTCTCTTCATTATTTTTTCTTTTTTACATCCTTATGTTTCAGCCACAGCGGCCAAATTTTGCTTACTACCCTAACCCGTATCAGCCAGACATGGATGTATCCGTCGACCGATGGAACTACTGAAAGAAAGCCTGCGTGAGTAGCATTTGTAGTACAGCGAGTACTACCTACGGATTATAATTAAGTTGCGATGCAATACTGGAGAGTCACTCCTCTCCACCAATTTTTTTTTGTAACTGAGCTCAGTTATAATTGTGAGTGGCACTGACATTATTTTGCTTGTCACTGATCACTTTAATCTCGGTATTTTCGATTTCCATCCCATCATCTGTTTTGTTTACATAGTTTATTGTTGATTTTATATGTATATTTATTCTTTTCGCATGAGCCCATTGTCGTTAATGAATTTGTAATCGTAAAGGTTAACCATATTTAGTAGCAGAGTTTTTTTGGCGCCACCACGGTACCTTGGCAAAGGTTAATCTTTCGTAGAAGAAGAGGAGTTCCGTTTCATGAACACTATTGGAGTTTGTATTCAGGGCCTAGCTTCCCCTTCTGGGTCCTGGGTCTTCGGTCTCCGCGTTGAAGCGATGCGGAATGTTCAGCCACCGTTTTTTAGGTAGCTGACTCAACTTTCTGTAGCACTCGTTAACAAACAAAGTTACGGTGTGCAGCCGTGCTCGTGACAGCTCCCTTTTCTGGGACGTGTTGCTGTTCATAATCGATAAAAACCGGCTGAATCTTGATGATAGGCCCAACTAGGAGAGTGATTATTTTACTAGCAAGGTTGCAGTGTTCAGTATTACGGAACGAAAATGGGCGCACCCATGCAGGGAGATGTTGACATTATGGATGTGGATGGTGGTCAATTACAAACCTGTGG